ATTTTTTTTTTTTTTTTTTTTAAATGAAGCACTTTATTAATACACCTAAAACACACGTACATCATACTTACATGCACTGTTCAAGTTTTACAATGTTCAATAACTTTTCTCATACGTGACAGCTAAGTAACTACACAGAACAAGAAAAAAATATACAAATACAAAAAAAAAGGGGGGGTCTATGCATTAGCTTTTAAGGCTGAGTATGGTAAATGCAACAACATTACCTTTGCATATCCCGTCATTATTCTGCATATCTTTTTTACAAATACATCTTCCTTCAAGTCCAGTGGTGTTCCACTCGCCATTACTCTCACAGTGAACGTACAAACGGCCAGATACTTGAACAGTATCTTCATCACAGTTTCCTTCAACTCGAGTGGGTTCAGAATCATTTGCTGGCGCTACAGTCCTTGGCAGTGACACCAAACTGTTACTGAGTGTTTCGTCTGGGCAAACGTTATAAGTGACTTTAACAGAGAACAGAGTACTACAGGCTCCATAATTATGGAATGCTAAAATAATGTGTTTTCCTTTAATAAGGACGCTTATTGCTTTATCGGTAGTCTGATTAATTTCTGCTATTTTTTTATACGCCACTGAATTAGTGAGAGGGTCAGGATAGAGATCCGAGTCTGATTGGTGTACGTATAAGTCAAAAACATTCACGCAGTGATGTCCTCCATTGTTGGGGAAGGTAGAACAATCTCTGATGTTGCACTGGACAGTGATATCGATCCTGTTGGCTTCACTGACTGTGATTTGATCACTTAACAGCCAGTTGTTTGGCTGAGGATCAGACTGTTTTAAGTCAACATCACATGCACTATATCTTGGAGGGGTGCCGATAGCAGTCAGTCTGCGCCACTGAAAAAGAAAACAGCAAAAATTAACAAACAATCAATCAGCCAGTAAAAACAGAAAATCAAATACTTGTCATAGCATTTACCTATGTAGTAAAACCCAAATGATTTTTTTTTCACAGTTTGCCTTAACCATGCAGCAGAAGGTTGATTATAAGCGCTCGTTGAACAGTGGGGCAAGGCAGTTTACTGCAGTATGAGGCGATTGGAAATAAAGGGAAAGGTATTTACTTGACAATTACCTCACGAGTGCGCGTTGGATAGCCAAGAGCGCCGAGTTGGCTATATTCATCTCATATCCAACAAGCGCGAGTGGAACAATCGTTTTATTAAAATTAAACGCCCTCACATATAGACAATTAACATAAAACAAAAATAAGAACGACCCTAAAACTTACGCGAACGTTTACCATATTTGTAGAGCACGGCATAACTGCTCGCATACCAGTGATGACAAAGCTAGTAGAACTCTTGAATTGCATTATCCAGTGATCCAGATTTTTATAATAAAGGACATCATGCTAAAGGTTAACTTTCAAACTTACCCCGTGTGATCCCCCAGTCGATCGTTTCATAATCCAATGCCAGTCGTGTTTATCTGTATTTTCTAGTTCTCTTTGAATTGCTGACACCAAAGCTACAAACGTCAAGGTGGGTAAAAAAGCAATCCAAATATGCTGCATGTTGATCACTCATAACTAAAAATATGAGAAGATGAATAATTTAAAGTTTGAAGTTCGGTTGCTTTAAACAAGATCAAAAGTCTAGATATCAGTTGTTCAAAGGGTTAATAACGCTATCCATCGGAGAAATCACTATCACGGGAAAGTGTAGTTTGTTCAACCCACAAGATCCTGATAAGACCCACACGTTACAAATTCGTCCCGAACGAAATGGCATGTTTTCGTCGCTGTTTTAGAAAAGCAACTTCAAAATATAGTCAATCTCTTCGAACGCTTCCCTTTGCATCAACGAATGTACTCAACGAACGGTAAAAGCACGAGGTCGCAGATTCAAGTCTGTCCATCATGAATTCACCAGTCGCAGACTTTCTACGCAGTGCAGTAAGGCCTACGAACTGCTCACAAACAAACAACTTGAAGTCAAGATATCAGAACCTGCCCTACGCGAGCAGCAATGACTACGCATACAGTCACGCCATCACAGGAAGCGCGGGTTCCTTTCCCGAACAGCGGCTAAAACTGTAGTCTATTCATACAGCTAATAAATTCAGCACCGACTACATCACAGCTACATGTACTCTACCGCCAGTTAGCGTTCTGTTAGGATTTTATGTTACTACAAAAATATGGCTCCCGAACGCGTTCAGCTTGAGGTTAAAATAAAATAATGATTACGTTTATATAGTCCCATTTCTGAGGGCATCATTAACTCACCTTTGGACTTATGCCAGGCGATATGAAGTTAACACTTGGATAACTTTCTAGTATTTAGCAACGTTCGACGGCCGGGTGTTTAAAACGAGCAATCACGAGCCCATTTGTGACATTCCTTACATAAGAGAGACAAGATTTATCACTGAACCTACCACGGATTGAAAATCACGACACATCGCAACAAGATTGAGCTCCAAATTTGGCATGGACTCCCTCGATCTAAATCTTCAAAAGGACACATGCATGAGCGAAGCCCAAAACCACCATCGTCTGGATGCAGAATAGAGACCGAAATATCTGTCTTCAACCAATTCACCTGATCTTGCTCAACTAATAAAAACCGTAACTTGGAGGACGTTTGTTCACTCACGGTTCTACTGCTGATTCTTTAACTTGTCCACCTTGAAATTTGATATGTGGTTGATTTACCTTTGTATTTTGTAGTATTTAATACACTGTAATTCAAGTTATTCCCTCCTATGTAAATTTAGTGACGCAATGCAAACATCGTCGCCTAAACTCATTGCTGAATGTGGTAACTGAGCTGGCAACGAGCTGTATTGTGGACCCTTATTTTCTAGTATTGCACGGCATTACTTCAGCTACTAGTAGCCAAACAATGGTCATTTGGATGTCAAAAGGAACATCAGTAGACTGATGGTAAGTTCTGACGAAGATTACAATCGACTGAAATCGATTTTCACTGAGGCAAACTGAAAAAAATAGCATTTCGCAAATGTCACTTATTTAACTGACATTGTTCTTTACAGAAAGCATACATGCTATTACATTGTATATTACAAAATGTATACGTACCAATTGGTGATCAACCATCGATCTATCCGTTTTGATTCATGGACTCGTAGATTCTCTGAAAGATAAGCTTACAGTCAGAAACACAAACACAGTACAGGAACTGTCTGGATTCTACGGTTGACCTGGTCTGCGCCAGTTATATAGAGAGATGCAATGAATATGCATATGTATTAAATACTAATAATTTAGCAAAGAATGATGTCACGGTCAAAACTGAAGTGTCAGTTTGCGTGACTGAATAAGAGCGGAGGTATGGCGGCCCGATAAACGCCAAGCGGAGCATGCGCACCACAACTATAGGAACAGAACCACATGCATGCATAGGAATAATATATAGATTTTACCAAGCCCAGAAGCGGAGATCTGAGTTTTGTAACTTTGCAGTGAGGTTTTCTGTATGCTATTTGGAGTTTGAATAATCTCAAACTAAACAAAACATAAAGCAGTGAAAAACATTTGTATACAAGAAAAATTTATACTTTAGTTAACTTTTTATCCTGGGTTAGCTTTAACAACTATTTACAACAAATTAACCAAATTAGGGCGCGATCCAACCGAAATCTAACACTTGGCCAGCGGTCAATTAAAAAAAACACGTGACCTCGACGAGCTCTAAATTTGAGCCGCGATATAGTTACGTAATACTGGTCAGCGGATACCTTGTTTTGACAGTTCTCAATTGACCATAACATGGATGTCCAACAAACAAGTACGCTATAAACCAGGGCTGCATGTCTGTCTACCTATTAACTGGAGTATGGCCGCCATCTTGCGCGTCTCCGCCGTCGTCGTCGTCGTACGTACGCGCCCACGAGCAATACCGCTAGCCATGATAACCATGAGAAAATTAATGCACGGGTTTCCTTCACTTTCCTATATGGGTATGGTGCTCCGCTATAAAACCATACAACCCGTTTATTATGGTCAACATGGCTTGCGGCATGGATCACCGATGACGAAAAACAACGACGTCGCTCAAGGTGGTGGCCATACTCCAGCTGCAGCCTTAGATTACAAGATATCCATGTTATGTTCAATTGGGAGCTGTCTAAACAAGGTATCCGCTGACTAATATTGCGCGGCTCAGGTTTAGAGCTCATCGAGGTCATGTGTTGTCAGTACTTCATACAGAGCGCGCAGCGGTGGAACAATTGGTTAGAGCTTTGAACAACATGGTGCCGATAACAATATGTTCCACAGTTTGACTCTGTCTGCTTCATTGTGATTTGATGACGACTCCTCGAGGGTAAAACATTTAATGTGCCTTCAGAAAGTTCAGCGTAACTAAGGATTACGAGTTAAACTCAGGTCAAAATACGAGTAATTATGACGACAACCCTTAGGGTCTAAGAAAATATACAGAGCAAAACAGAATGAAACGCGATCCACCACTGACACTTTGGTATATGAGACACTTTGAACCCGTTTAAGCTTTGATCATTGAAGAAAGTGAAGTTAAACACAGCCCTTCATTGTTGAGTTTTAAACTTCATAATTTGCGTGTTTGCGTGTGCAGTAAATGTTTGATTTCGTTCCGAGGCTCATTAACTGAGGGCAAAATTTTTTTAGGGTTTAAAGCCTCTAATTTCGTAGAAGATGTCATGTAACCATGGAAACATGGTTTACAAGAGATTTGTGGGGAAGGATCGATACCGACTGAGCGCAATGCGATTAAACATTTCTTTAATATGACTTGCGTTTGTAGCCGATGAAACGCGCGCTCTGATCGGCTAATACTAGGGCATTATAATTATTCTCCCGTAATGCCCACGGGCCGATTACGGGCCTGCAAAATCCAAGCAAAAAGCCATATAATAAACAACTTATTAACCTCGAACGTTCGGTCTTTACGGGAAAATCTCAAACCTCGGCCTTGCCGTGTTGACAACGCTATCGCTCGGTCAGTACGGCAAAGTCCCGGTCTGAGATTTTCCCTAAAGACCTCACTCTCGGAAATAAGCAGTTAGTATCAGAACTGATTAGTGAGGACAATCAGAGTATCTTTATTATTCACTGAGGGTGAGAGTAACAAGAGAGTTGAAGACAAACGACACGTGAGCTATAACAAAGTTGCTATTTTTTACTAGGTCTAAAATTTTCAGTAGCATTTTTCATAGAATTAACCAATATAAAGATTGCGTTCGAAGCCAAAAATTGAAGTGTTAGAAAAATAGAAATACTAACTATCAAATATCGAAAATACCTCTACCTTTTTTATATAAATCTTTTGAATAACATTATCCTACCCGCCTCCTACAATGTTTTAATGATTAGTAAAAGTAATATTTCCAGCATGAATGAGCATGTTACATCTGCCTAATGTACTTTGGGTGACACTCGTGCGAGTGACGTCTTCTCTTCGACGTCTTGTTATGTACTGAGTATAGCATTCCTTTTTATATCAGAAACAGGTAATTTAGCCATACAATGATTCTCTGGGATTTTCTAACTTTTACAACACTTAAGACAGCTCGTCGGTCAAAGTTTGGATAATGCGCTTCACTGGACAAAGCATTATGTAGTGCTGGGATAGCAAAGTTAGTGTCGTCAACATTTCTCCACTGGATAGTGATTTACCCGTTGGATAGCATTATCCACACTAGGACAGGGTGCCGTTTACGCACAATATCGAGCCTTGTGCCCAGGAATTAGCAGAGGGTTACCATGCTAGATCGGATAGGAAATAAAAAGCAAAAAAACTAGTGAAAAAGCTATACAAGTTACCTACGAATTAACCAATCGATTTGACAGGTGCTATTTAACTCAGTTTGGAATCAAATGAAACTGGGCAACACTATATTTCTGTCAAAAAGGTATGAAAGTGTCCTGTGAATATCGTTCATGATCCTTCGTCAATCGTTCTAGGTCACCACGTCAAAATTAACATAGTCCTTGTCATCATAAACTTCCAAATTCACATATGTCTGCAAATCAAATAATAGATAAATAAAGAGATTAGATCTTCGACCTTTATGTGTCCCTGCTGATCAGTGTAACGGCTACGGGAGTCATCACCAGTCCTGATACAATTGTATGGTTCTTCTATGTCTGCCAATGCCTCATTTTGGGCCAAAATTTAATTCTTTACTGGCCAGTTATTTCAAACTGTTTCGGATAGAGTGGCCGAAATTTTGTTCCTGACTCAGACCGAAGCTTCTTCTTTATTTACCACCTAAAGCTAATGTGTAAATTGGCAAATAATCTGTGCGTTGAGACAGGCAGCGTACACACTAAAATGTGTTGTCAGTGATTTGGTAGCCCATTAGAATCACATCTTAAAATTACAACACAGCAGTATGTCATAGTGAAACTTGGCCGCGAATATCTAGGCCGACTTCGTCTTGGTAGATATGCTTTATATTTACCCCTCGCCCCCTACTCCCCCATCAAAGGAGAGGTTTGTAGACACTTTGGATAAAAGCCACACAAAATTGCTCAATAGGGCAACAGCTTAAACTGTGAGTGTCCATTTCTGCCGTGTGTGCTGTACTGACATATATTAAAGCACTTTACAAACCTTGTGGTCATCCAGAAGTCTTCTGACTGCAGAGCAAAGCCACTGGAACGTTGGTCGCTTTTGAGGTTGCTCTTCCCAACACTCGGTCATGATGGAGTACCTGGGTTTATAAAGTTTCAGATAATGTTTTTCATTGACACACTTATCGTTTAGTGAATGAGATATGCAATGGAAACCACTTACAGTTCAGCAGAGATGTGTCTTGGTCTAGACATGCGGTATCCAGTCTGCAATAAGCCAGCCACTTGTCGAGAAGGTACACCAGGATATGGTGATTCACCTTAAAACATTAAAACATACTTGGCAATATTTTACAATTAACGACTCGTCCCAAAGGAAACAGTTACCTTTGTTCCGCAAAAATATCAATGTCTGAGATTTGAGAAAAACAAAATGAAATGGTTTCCCTCGGGTCCAGTTATAATCAGAAATAAGTATACATGCATCTAATATAAAATGACGTCTGTCAGTCACCATTCGCTTGCAATTGTGCACTGTTACCCTCTGACGTCACAGTTCTTTATGTTGCCTACTTAGAGATTTTTGGCGGGAAACACTTTTCCTGTTAAATGTCATGTGACAAGACGGTAAATGGGGTTCAAATTATGTACGAAATACACTGGAGGGCATTTTACCTGTAACCCACCATACATTACAGCAGTCTACTTGTGTTTTCACTTTGTGTTAGCGTGATGCGTTGCATTATCGTTCGAGACAATCCAAATGTCATTTTCAGTTATTCGTCTATTTTGTCAAGAATTTACTATAAGATTATTCTTTTCATATTAAAAGTAGACTGAAGTATTGAGAGCAAAAAATAATATATTCTATATCAAGCTATGGTTTCTTAAAGGAGAAGGTCACTCCAAAGAGCTTACTCTTTTGCCTTCGCCTATAGCAAGTAAACATTCAGCTTTGTCACTCATCGAAGTTTCAGCCTCTGAAGTGCCTGCTATCCTGACGAAATTTGTCTCGGAAGAAGCGACCTGTAGGCCGCCATTTTGAACTGTACTTGGCAGCAGGCCGTGTTAACGTGACGTCATTCAGTCCGACTCGAAATTGTCGGCAAGGAGAAAAACCTGCAACTGACTTTACATCCTTCACAAGAGCAGCAAAATGTCTTTTTTTCCAAGCGTGATTCACTTCGTTATCTTCACTGCTGTCATTTTCGGAGTTTGGAGCATGTTTGGCTCAAAATAATACGGCTCAAGAGCATCCATTACCCAGAGTGGTAATTGAAAGGCTTGTCGGAAGCCATTTGGACAAAACCTCGCGGACGGAATGACATCACGAACACGCTGCCTGGCTGCTGAGTACTGTTCAAAATAACGGCAATGATGTCGACTTTTGGGCTTCTTTGGAGACGATGTTAATAAGGAAAACTTGCACTTTAGAGCCTGAAGCGTCGGTGAGTGGCTAAACTTAGTGCGAGGTTTTTATTAGCGTTGACAGAAAAATATACGTTTCCTGGAATGACCTCCTTTAAACACCCCCTGACAATTTAAACTGCATGAACGGAAGGACTGTGTAAAGCTAAGCTGTGTTTACTGGCCTTCTGACGAATATTTTACCTACCAATAGTAAACACCTCCCACATTACTATACCGTAAGACCATCTGCGAAACAAAAATATTGAGATGAGTCTTCCCACTTTTCAATATAATGCATTAGTATAATTTCCAGAGGTGAATATAGAAATTTGACATTCTGATTGGTCGAGAAGCTCATCATATGACGCTATATTCACCCCGCTAGAGCTGGTTACTAAGCTCGCCATTTTTGCTATCTCGGCAAGTAAACATGGCGGACAGTTGCTGAATGAAGTTTTCATTTATAGCCCATTGCAAAAACGTGAGAGGACTGGCACGAGTTTCTTATATTGATTGGATTGAAAATCTAAACATTTCAACTGAAATGTCACTGAATGAAAAGCTACCCAGTCAAGTTTGAGAATTTTCAGCGGAATATTGTCTAAATGGGAGCCTAGCAAAGGTTGCAAAATTCCACACAAACCCTTAAAATTTTGTGGCCTGGCCACCCAATCCATACAAACTCTCTATTTTAGGTGATATTTGAAGAGCTATCATTTTGCCATTTTCCTCCTCTAAATACTTCTTTTCTCGCTTAAGACTCTCAAATATAGTTGATCTTTCATTCGAATATCTTAGGTTTTCAAACAAACGGAAATCAACCATACTATTTTCTAGTCCTCTCATGTTTTTGCAATGGGCTATTCGAAAGACATCACTCCAAGTCCAGGATATTTGAAAGGATGGAGAATTTTCAAAATGACTGCTGTTGCCCTTGGACCAAAAATCTTTTCAAGAACTCGTATTCAAGGCTTTTAAGAATCGCAAACGCAGTGGTTGTGTCGATCGCCAGCAGGTCAGATCGATTGGCCGAAATTTATTTTTCTTCAAACTAAAGGTACTCATTTTTAGAAGATGATGACAACTGTGAACGAAGTCAACAACGATAAAACAAAGATACTGGATGATTTCAGTTTTCGTAGTGTTTCGCTCGTTTGTTTTACTACCGAACTCGATGAGTAAATTGATTGACAATCGATGCACATGTAAGCTTACTATTAAAACTACGGCTGCATACGCGTATGCACACGAACAATTGCGTCTGTGTTTTTGTGTTTTAGTCCGTTATTTTGGAGTCCTTGATATTCACCTCTGAAAATTATACTAAAACAATTATTTGCCTCAGGCTCAGTGAACATTGGTGAATATTCACCTCGACTTCGTCTCGGTCAATATTCACCAATATTCACCAATGTTCAATGTTCACTATGGCTGTGTCTCACAAGGACTGCGAACTACGAAGTTCACGAATTTGATTGGCTGAAATCGATATTGAAAGAGGTCTAGATTTTCCCATCTAGACCGGCATCTAGACCGGTAATGTTCGCGAAGAAAAGTTGCCAACTAAAATGCAAAATCATTGACTATTTTCTTCTAACAGCATTTATTTATAGAAGTGCCAAAAAGGCTGATGAGAAAGAAAAGGTAAAGAGGACGAGCAAACTTTGGCTCTGCGTTCGGTCTGTACTCACGTCCATACAGACCTCGCGCTCGGTTAATAAGAGTTAAGTATTCTGCACCATCATTGCTCAATTTTAGGGCTGGTTTTTTGAGAACTTGTTATATTGTATACGCAGCTAACAATATGCTTCATTTTCATGGAGACATCTTCCGCAAACAGAGAGTGTTACGGGTCGGTGGAAGTATATGTATACCATTCAATAATACTTTAAGTTAGTCTTCTAAGGACATGGACAGAATACTATGACAATTTACTATAGTTGATAACACAGACAGTGAGGAAAACATCTTCAACTATTCGGTATGGACGCATTACAAAAGTGACCCTCTTTTACTTGAACTGTGGTCAACTAAACTCTCGGATGATGAGATTTGTAAGGTTGTTTGATTGGTTATTCTATAGTAAATTGAAGCACTACTTGACCAAAGTTCCCAGTCCCAAGAAGTTTCACTAACGTTATTTGGTCACGGTCGAGATTAAAACTATTACAGATGTCATCGACTTTTTGGTATGCAGCCATTGACAATATCGTAACATCTAGAGGAAACAATATTCCTTATCACTTTTATTTTCGAATATAATGTTTTGTTACTTTCATAAGCGCTACTAGCAGGTGTTTCCTCCCATATGGAACGCACTGAACGTCTTCAGCTTCGAAGTGACTTTTGTGTTTTTAAGAAACAAAGCGAAACACTAACGACCAAATCTTGGATATCAGTATAAGTTTGACTAGAAATGCGGTTTTGTTTCGAGTGTAGATGGATTAGAGGGTCTCGATCTCCCTGGCTGGGTACAAAGTTAGTCAAAGTGGTGTCAAGTAACTTGCTAGACCAACTGACGGACCTGATCATCGCTAAAATCACTTTTGCTATTTCTCCAGCACTCCACATGTCGGAAACGGAAACTGTTCAACCCGTTTTCAAGTAAATTGATCAATGGAGAATGCTGATAACGTTGCAAACTAATTATTGACTCCTCATACTACGTTCAACCGTGCATCTGCTGAGATCGAGCCTTACCATCGTACACTCTAACTCCTGATTCCCTTGTTACGGGCAGTTTGTTTTGTTTTACTTCCTCTTGACGCCTGCACCGCCTATGTCTATCAAGTAAACAAAAAAAGTTACACAAGTGACTGATGAGAGAAGTAATTCGGCAGAATGATCTTCCATATGAAAGCCTGGTATCTAATCTATTGACAACGACCAATGTCAGCATGCAGGTATGACGTCATGCCAAAGGTGACAAACATTGAAAGGAAGAAGCAAGCTAAAGCTATTAGCGCATAAACATCTAACATCAGAGATTCTGTCATTCGATTCTGTCGTTGATTTTTATATGCTTATGTGTCACCAAACCTTTGCTCATAGTTGCTAGTGACATACCTTTTGAAGATTTTGTAGCAGGCGAAAGAAACGATCAAAACTATCAATAACCCGACAATTCCGGCAAATCCGTAAACAATGTTTAGGTACATTGTAGTCTTGGAGTCTGCTGTAAGGAGGAGATATACAAAAAAAGGTCTTCGGTAATTAACCCCTATACTTATTTATCTCATCAGACGTTTTGGGTGGAGTTGGTTTCCGGTAGAAACGAAAGGGGAGGGAACTAGTACAAGAACGGATTCTGTTGGAAACCACACTGTGAAAATATCATAATCAGAGTCAGAAACTTTTTATCAAAACACCAACTTACTGTGCATTTTTTCGTTTATTAAATCCATTTTGAAATCACTGGTTATCCTTGCAATCTGTTGGCTCTCAGTGGTGCGATTTATTCACGAATCGCACTATTTTTTGCTCTAAATCGCATCTTTTTCTGAGCCAGTGAGAATGGGACAGTAAAACAAAACAACCAATCAGATTTCAAGGCTAGTTTAAAGTAGTTAATAAAATTTTAGGAAAATTGACGGCAAAAAGCCATTGTGTGGAGAATTTTACAACTACTATTGCCAAAACCTTGTTGTTGTTGTTTTTTTTTTTCGAAAAATATTGACAAATTTAATTAATTACAGTTTCTGAATGACGATTACGAGCTCCTTCAAGATGGAGACCTACTTTAATGGAAGTTTCCAACTTTCAGTGTCCCTTTTGACTAATATTTTGGCGATTTTTCTTCAACATCTGCTCAAGATCCATATTATACCGAATACACTGAAAACACAAACAAAAGAAAACCATACAACAACAAATTCAGAGCCATCTCAAGAAGGTAGAAGAAGAAGAAGGTAGTTTCAAACGAAGCAACACAAGAGCTCAACTCTGTCGCTGTGAATAAACATATTCAAAATATGCCCCGCTCTACAAAACAGTGAATGAACGAACGTCTT